TGCCCCCCAGCGCAGCCCCAGACTCCCCCGGGGCTCCCCGCCCCCTCCCATTCCTAGTGCATCTCCAACCCCGCCCCCAGGTCACTGCCCCGAGCCCAGCCCCCCCACAGGGTCCCTGCCCCCAGCCCAGCCGCCCCCCCAGGTCCCCAGTGCAGCCCCACCCCACCCCCTGGGTCCCTGCCCCCAGTGCAGCCCCAGCCCCTCCCACAGGGTCCTTGCCCCCAGTGCAGCCCCAGCCCCCCCACCCCCCACGGGTCCCTGTCCTCAGCACAGCCCCAGCTCCCCCCCCCCCGGTCCCCAGCGCAGCCCCAGCCCCCTCCCCCCAGGCTCCTGCCCCCAGCGCAGATCCTGTCCCATCCCTGCCCCCCGGTGCAGACCCAGGGCACCCTGCCCTCAGAGCTGCCCCTTAGTCTCCCAGCTCCCCCTTAGGGCACCCCTGCCTCCTCCCCACTGGGCATAGCAAGAACCCCAAGCCGCTCTCCCAGCACAGGCCCCACACCAATCCCAGGGTCTAGTGCAGCCCCCCACATGGCTCCTATTGAACTCTCCCCACACCCTTCCAGAGCTACGTGTGGCTCTCCCCTTATGCTGCTGCTGTGCAGCCCTGGTCCCAGGTGCCCAGATGCCATGGTGATGGGTGTGGTACAGCTGGGTAGCTAGACAAGCAGGGTGTTGCATAGGCCTTGCAGAGGCTGCAGCTCCCCAGGTGCTATATTTTGCACAGCGACTGCAGATCCCACTATCCTGTTTCAGCCAACAGGCTACGGGTCGCCACCTGCCAAAAATTCTAATGCTTCTCTGAAGCTTGTCACAACATATCCCAATTCCAAACCATTGCAGTCTGGAGATCAGGCTACAAATCACACAAGAGAACTGCCTGGGCCCACTTGGGTCAGAAGTCATGCAGATACCTTGGCAGCCTGCTGATTCCATTGACGTGGGAGCAATGTATAAAATTGGAAAAGAAAGAAATAGGAAAAAATTCCAGACTTCTTTGAATCTCAAATATGGTTTGATTCAGATGCAGCTCAAGTTGTTTATGAGGCTGATTCCTGTTGTATCCACATATCCTATTGTATTCACGTGTGTCATTGTATCAGCTGGATCTGCACTTTGCAATGCAAGTCACAACAGAATCACAGTTTTGTAGTTATTGTGGTGAGATGGTGACATTATTTGCAGCATCCTAGGTACCAAAACTAAGACAGCACAACTGAATATTGATGGTGTGGCCAACTCTGTGGTACAGTATTTGGTGTTTTTCTTACAGCCCCAGCTCCTGGACTTATATGATTACCTGAGAATATCAGCTTTGATTTTTTAAAAGAGTAAGTTTAAATCACAGTTGTGGAGAAAAGCTTGAAGATGTAAGCCCTAAAGACTTTAACCCCCAAAGGCAAATAAAAATAATCCAAGTTATTTTTTTAAAATCTAATAGCAATCATAAACAGGTAGGGCGGGAAGGGACCTCCTTAGATAATGTAGTCCATCCCCCTTCAGGGAGGCTGGATTTTTAATTATGTTTAAGTCAATCTTATGTATTTTGGGGACCTGACTTACGATTTTTGAATGCTTGGATTTGGCAATTCCATACTGAGGCAAAGCAAGCACCCTTAAAGGCAACAGCAGGTGAACTCTCCAAAGCCGATACAGACAACTAAACAGAATTGCACAGAACTTTTGCACAAAGTTTGTCACGTTTCATTTAACAGCTGTGCTCATCCATCAGGTTCCCTGTACAGTACTAAAGAGAGTCCTTTTGCTATATGGAGTCAGGGGGGTTATTTCACAAAAATAGAACTTCTACATCTTCTAATTTGTGTTACCATTTTATTAATAATAATTAATTCTGTATTGCAAACAAGTGTGCTAAGCACTTCACAGAAGACTAAGACATGATCTCTGCCCTAAAGAGTTTATATTCTAACTTGTGGAAATGACAGAATGAATGAGGGACACAAACATTAGAGAGGGGATGGGGATAAAAAGGACTTATGAGTCAGTCACTTTAATGAATACCTGCTAGCCAGCTTCAAGTTTTGCCCAGATCTGTGGTTGAAAAGTTTCCAGAGAAGATACAAGGGTTTGGTATGCAGCAGCTCCCATTGTGACCCTTCTGGCCATATTTTCACACCCAAATGGCTGAGTTCTTTTCAAAATCTGGACACTTATTTTGGTGCCTAAATGGGAGCTGAGTTCTTTTGAAAATCTGGCCTTATGTGTATAGGGCTAGAATTTGAGACTTGCTGAGGACACACAGCTCCCACTGAACCACTGCTCAGCCCATCTGACTCACATCATAAAAGAGTTTACAAAAATAACCCCGACAGAAGATCTTTCTGTTGCAGTTTAATCTGGTGACTGTGAGTGATGCTTTTATACCTCCAGAAAGAGGGACTTGACTTGCTGTCTAATTTTTATGAACAGGAAACCCAATGTTGTCTTATCTAGGACCACAGGAATACACACAGTGACCAAGCCTGACCTCCTCTTAAGAAAGTGGCTAAGCATTAAACCGCACAGTGCAGCCATTATATAGGTCGAGAAATATGTGTTTTAACCCTCACTAAACCTATGTCAAAAAAGTAGAAACTTGAACCCAAAATGAAAAATTGCAATTGAAGTTTGTTAGGCTGTGTCCTTTCTTTAGCAGATGTTGCATGTAGTTATATTTTATTAGGTGCCTAGAGATCTTAGAAAGTAACATGTATTCATTATTATTTTTTATTATTGTTAATATTATTTTATTGATACAATGCTTTTCACCATCTAAGATCTCAACGCACATTCTTGCTGTGCTACATACAAGTCGCTTCAGTTAAATGCAGACTCTTTGGGATGGAGCGCAGACAGCTGGCATGCAACACACTCCACAACAAAGATGGGAAGAAGGGACATTTTGGGCCAGTGACATTGGGGTGAGCTGATATTCTTTTGAAAAGGCTCATGGAGTCTTTAGGGCTACAACATTGAGCACATTCATAGTTTATTCTATAGGACCCTGGAAACATCCCTCCAACATGCAGGCATTCTTAGAGGACAGATATATTTCAATCTTGTAGCAAAGGTTGAGATTTGGCACATATGTATCATTGTCATTGGAACATTAAAATACATAAACATATAGATCTGTACCAACTCTGGCTATGTTATGTCTTGTGGATTCAGTTTCCTAAATTTCTATTTGATGAGTACCAGTGACCTGGAGGTGAAAGTCTTTGTCAGAGGCCATATAAACCATCCAGGCCCACCATCATAAAATTTTAATCAACAGTTTATGCTTAGTGATTGGATTTTTAGGGTATTTCTGTGATCAAAATGAGTGTGACTTTATTTAAGGGAATTGACAGAAATTAAGTTTTTATACATTTGAATAATTATAATCAAGAACATTCATGTTGTAAACTAAAACTGCTTAAGTTAAATAACTATATACATTAACTAAATATGATTAGAGAGAAATTAGCTAGATAGTAGAGCAACTTGGAAAATAAAATCTATATTGAGACCTACATTTTTTAATTAAAAAATACATAAGTATGTTTTCTGAAGTCCTTGCACACGTGTATATGTAAATGCACATGCAAAATATGTGTCTATATTTGCATGTATCGGTTGTGTGCCCAGTTACTGTGAGTGTACATACAACTATAGTCATTGACCACACAAACAACCATTTATATCTGAAACTGATTGTCTGCATGTGCAGCTACTGCAGTTACACAAACAACCATGGTAATTGTGCATGCACTTATGTGCACTGTCTTCTTATAATCTATCTCATAATATTCTAAAAATTCTGTGCTTTCAAAACAGAGGTTTAGCGTGCAACTTCCACTAAGGTAAATACACGAAGTACAACAACCATTGAACCTACCCATTATACCAATAATGCATGGGAAAGAAACAAGCCAACTACCTCTGTAAAAATGAATAATTTTGTAACATGTTATTATTTAATAATGGCAAGGGAAATGTTTGGATTCTGAAGGACTTGTGAACTTTGCCCTTTTTTTACAAGAGTTCTTGCCTTCTCTTTATTTTCTATGTTTCACACATGGAGTATAGTGAGCCAAAGAGATTTCAAAGTGGGTGGGTTCTTCACCAAATTTGTCAGCTAGACTTCAAAAGTTTCAGTTCCTGAACAGGGTTTTGTAAGAGCAAAACTCTGAAGTAATATATTACAAGACAGCTTGTCTAGTTTTGGTCATAAGCCATAAAGTCTTCAAACAACAAACAGTTCATCATAATATGCATAGCTCTCCTGGCATCAGAAGATCAAGAAAGCATTGGAAGTAATGATATATTAACAAGAAAAAGACTTGTATGTGTTTAAAATCCCATTTGCAGCATCCAGTACCATCCTTAAAACCAGTTCCTCTTTCTTGTCAGTAGCATCCTGTGTGATTTCCGGCCATGGTTTTGTAAGAGCAGTACAAATGAAAGGAATCTTTCTTTCAAGAAGTTCATTTTCTTTTCTTTCTTTTCTCTAACTTCTTATTTTATTATTTAAAAAAAAAAAAAGACTTTCTGAGCAGTTTCCTGTGGAGTCAGACTGGTTTCTCTCTACAGTCAAAATATTTCCCCCTAACTTTCTATTCTATTATTATATGACCAGGTTCAGCGTACACAGGATAGTACACAGGATACAAGAAGTATAGCAAAAATACATTGTTCCTGTTAGAGAATATATAGCGTATATATACATATTTATATGTATATATGGGATACAGCATAGTTATGTTGTTACTACATGAATAGGAACTAATTTTCAGAGTTAAAAAATTCAGTGGTTTTACTGACTGCAAAAGTATGGGCCTTTATCTCACCAAGGAATTCTCACCTTTTGCTACTACAAAATTCCCTCCACCCCCAATTTTGCCAATTACTATAAAGTAATTTGAAACTACCATGTAACACTTCTGCTACTGCTAGGACACAACTCCTGTATACAGACACAGTAGGCTGCTCCTTCAAGACCTAGGGCCAAATTCTGAGGTGAGTTTACTCATCTAAATTGTTGTAACTTGACCCCTTCTTTTGGTTCCCTAAACATACATGTTACTCACACTTAGACTGCCTTAATTAGATTCCCTTGGACTTACTTAATGACTTAAATTCCCATCTGTGTTATATCCCCAAATCATATCTGAATTTAGCCCACTTAATTTGAGTATATTGAGCCTTCTTCATTTGAAAAGAGTGGGAACTCAAGAATCCTGGCACAGCACCTCCAACGGCTCCTGTTACTACTACAAACAATGAGTGTAAAATAAGTAAGAAAAGTAGCCCCCACTCCACAGTAACTTACACCTCTTTAAACATTCTTCCACCATGTTAGCATGGAAGTTAAAACATTTTACCTTCCTTACACTCACTTGCACATTACCATCTGCATATAGGTAAATTTAAAGGAGGGCAACAGAATCTATTATATACCACCTTATACCTCTGAATATGCCTCTTGTTCTCAATATAGTGGGGGTTATCTAGTTTGCTTGTTTGTTTTAGTCAAAACAAAGTTTAATGAAAATGCATCTTCTGAAATAAACTTCTGGATCTGCATACGGTAAGTGGAGGCTTGTTACATTCTAGTCACACGGCTGTCTGCACCAGAAGCAGACTTGCTCCTTACCGACATTATTTCCTGTGACAAGAATAGCTTCTGGTTACTGCAGACTGGCACAAATTGCTGGAAAAATTCCACATTCTGAGAAATAAATGAGCACTAATCAACACTGCCCTTTGTTTGTTCATTATAGAGCTGTGTGCTAGTTTTGGTTCACATGGGTTGGTGTAAAACATTTTGCACTTCTGGTTGACATGTGGGTTCATGGGTACACCTCCCCTTTTTTTTTATGCCTACCTCAGTTTCACTGTATGTTTCACCCGAAACTGCCCCATTCTGTCTGGTTACAGGTCAAAACCATAGAAAATCACTCCATTTGGTATGATTCTCACCTGGAATCATAAACTGGCCCAGATTAGCTCCAAATTCAACTAGGTTTTATATAAAAATTGAAACTGGAAGAGTTTCATTATAAAACATTTGCATAAATCTAGTGAATTGGGTTTGGTAGTTATGGATTAACTTGAACATATCAGAGCTTCTGTTTGATTCAAATTGTATTCAGAAGTTGTTGAAATGTCCTAGTTTCTCTGAACTTCTTTTTCAACGCATTAAACATGAGAGCTTCTCATTCATGGTAGATTCTTTGAGAAGTGAGGGGTCTCTAAGTCAAGTATTCTAGCACAGCATCTCTACCTGCTCCTATTAATACCATAGATACATATCAGTGCTAGCTAGTAATTAGAGTAAAGACTTCTGAGTTGTAATCCCAACTCCACTTTTGATTTGTTATAATCTTGAGCAAGTCAATTAACCTCTAAGCCCTCTGTAAAATAGGGATAATGATGCTTGCCTACCTCACAGGGTTGTTTGAATGATCATCAATCAGTTAATGTTTGTGGAACGGTTTGAATATGTATGGTGTTTGATGAGTGATATTAATTATTATCATTTTATTATCACAGGTAGATATATTGTACATTTCTTTTCACAACTGGATTTGATGTCTAATGTCTTGTACTTTATTCATTGCTTTTAATCTACAGGATTATCTAAATCCTGATTTGTATGTTTTACATGTAATTACAGCCTTTTGAGGCTTTGACTCGTGTTTCGTTCACACTGCAATCTAGATGGCTGTTGTTTACTTCAGTGCTTGGACTGAAACTGAACTGAAGTTCCAGAAATCCTTCTTGGGCCAGATTCTCTGCTGATGTAAATTGGGGTAGCTCCATTACTTCAGTGAAGCTACAATGATTCACATCAGTTGAGGATCTGATGCCCTGTATCCATCCATCAGTACAAGCTTGTACAGATTGCAGAGTGCTGATGAAACAGGGGGGAAGTCCATCAGGATGTACGTGACGAGCTGATGTAAGATATGACATGAACTATTAAAACACATATTTAAAACATTTTCTCCCAGGGATCCATAGATCTTTAACCAACATCCCATTTTACTGCCCAGTTTACACACCCAAATTCAGATAAGACCCCATTCTTCCAGCCTAAGAAGGACTCACTTCATAGCTTGAAAACTTCAGTCCTTAGTCAACCAAGGGGATCACTGAGTGACATGAGTTGCAGAGGTCCAGTACATGGCTCTGTAGTGCTGTCAAGCTCAACGTGTCTCCTACATAGCAGTGCAGAAGAGCACAGCCATTGGGCCGGTCTGAAACAGTGGTCCCCAACCTTTGTCGTCTGGGGGGCGCCAGACAAGCCACCGCGGACCATGGCCGGGGGACGAGCATCCGCCGAAATGCCACCGAGAAGCAGCAATGTCAATAGGCGTCACTGCCAAAATGCCGCCGACAAGTAGCGTCATCCAGAGGCGTCGCCGCCAAAATGCTGCCGAAAATCGGGGGCGACGCCTCTGGATGACGCTGCTTGTCGGCGGCATTTCGGCGGATGCTCATCCGCCGGCCAGTACGCGGGCGCACATAGATGCCCCGGCGGGTGCCATGGTGCCTGCAGGCACCGCATTGAGGACCACTGGTCTAAAATGTTTCTAAGACTGCATTAAAAACTGAACTAAGAATAGTAAATACTGGAAAACAAAAGGGACTGTCCTGACCCCACAATTGGCTCTCTTAGTATAACAGCAGTGATGTGCAACTCGCTGAGCATTTCTAAACAACACTCAAGTACAGTATTTAAGAGCTGCCAAGGAAACTGGAGATGCACGTGTAGCTTAGACAGATGGTTTTCTTTTATAGGAGAGAGAAAAGTACTCACCAAAAAGACAGATCAGGCAGTTGGACATTTAATGCATGAGTAGCCATAAATATGTTGTAGTGGCCAACACAGTGTGTGAATCTTCTCATTGAGGAGCAAAGGGTTTGAAGAATTGAAATAATACTGATTAAAGAAAAATGTGTAAAAAGTAGGGCTAGACCATTATGATGAAGATGTATTTTGCAAGAGTGCCTACAGGTCCCAGCTGAGATCAGCGCCCGATGGTGCTAGGTACTATACAGACTCACAATAAGAGACAGTCCCTGCTCCCAAGGACCTTGCAATCCTAGTAGAGAAGACAGACATACGGTGAAAAAGAAGCAAAGTTAACTTACCCAGGGTCAAAGAGTAGGTGAGCCACAGAACCAGGAATAGCACCTAGATCTCCTGAGTCATAGTCCAGTGCACTATTTACTGGACCACACTAAGTAACCTACTGGTACCATTACACAGCACCAACTAAGAAACCTGAGTGTGAATCCTGCCCTCAGCCTGACACTTCCTAAGCCAGATGGGGCTTTCAGCACTTGAAGAGTGTAGGATTTCCCAAAGCACCAAGTACTCCTGACCTCACATTGTTACAACTCTGGATTGTTTTCTTCTTTTTCAGTCCTAACCTAGAATAAAGATGACTGCAAGAGAAACAGCTACGCGCAAAGGGACAATTATTCCTAAATCCCGGAAGAGTTTACTTTCACTTGATGTAAATGCAGTGTCTCCACAGCAAAGAGAGAGGTATCTGGCATTTGCTGAGCCCACTGAGGAACCAGTGAAATCCATGCTGGCTTCAGACATTCTTATGATGGATAAAATTTCACACGAGCACTCCATGCGTGAAAGAGACGCAGAGCAAAAGAAGCAGGCCAGGGTCATTGGGCTGCTCAAGGCTGCAGAAGCCCGGAACCGCCTTCGAAACGTGAGACTCCGATTTCAGAACTTGAGAGTAAGTTAACCTCAAAGACCTTTCATCAACAGGCCAGGCTGATAGTGTGCGAGATGGGACTGAGGAATTGTAGGCAGCAAAGATAATTTCTTTATCATACCCTGAAATGTCACTTTTCTAATGCATACAAATTATTATATTTTGAATTGAGCAAGGGAAAAAACAAAATATTAGTTTTTCTCCTTCATGTTCAAAAGAGAGGACATTTTTATCCAGTTGCACCTTCAAACCTGTTCCATGAAACATCCTGAAATGTGTGGGGAAAATTCTAACAGTCATCATCCATTTTTTCAGCTGACAAACTTTTCCTCATCCTAATATAGAGAACGGGGGAAAAGGAAGATTTTAATGGAACCTCAGTTGCAATCTTAACAATGGAGATATGGCTATTTCTCCATAGTGCCTTCTCTTAGAGGGTTTGTCTACACTGGGACTGGAGATGTAATTTCCAGCCCAGGTAGACATACTTCTGCTAGATTGATCAGCAGAAGCAGTGGCATGGGCTAGCCATGCTGAGTACAGTGCCACCCGAGATGCTAAATACACAATCAGCTGGCCTATCCCACTGCTTGTGGCGTTGTGGCCACACTGCTGATTTTAGCGTGCTAGCTCAATTAGAAATTACACCTCCGGTTCCAGTGTAGACATAACCCATATACAGCTTTGACCACTAAAACGAGCCCATTTTCTCTTCTGTGGTCCCTGTGATGCTCCATTACAGTCAAGTGCAGGAGAACATGCATTTAGGATCCATTTGCAAAATGAAAACAATCCTTTTGCTGAATTTTGGCCAGGACCTGCAGAATTGTGCGTGCATGTGGTTGCAGGCCCAGTTTTAAAATAAACCTACCACAGTTGTGTGTGAAGCCATGACAACTGTGAATGCAAATAACCAACTATTCCTCTAGCTGATTATTTGCTTGTGTAGTTTCCACTTGTGCATGCAGCCATGAAAATTGTCTGCACAATTGTCTTTCTAATTGTCATTAGAAGATTCTAACTCCTAGAAGGAGGAGGGTTTATGTGTTGCTTCATATATCAAACTGGTGTTGGAAAAGATCACGTCAGCACACTGTCATTCATTAAGGATGGCATTTTTTAAGTGTTCAAGTGATTTAGGAGCACATACACCAATAAAGTCAATGTGGCTTTGTGCTCCTAACTCACTTGGGTGCTTTTGAAAATCCTGTCCTAAAAGCTCACCATACATCTTATACAACACATCTCATCTCATCAAGTGCACTAAAGTAACTCTTCCCGTTTACAACTGCAGACTGGAGTTTCTCTGTTTATTCCCTATGAGAAAACCAATTCTGGAAAAGTTGCTTATTTTAGACCCTACAGCCTCAAGGAAGATATTTTCCCCTAATCCCAAACTAAATGATATCATACTTGGCTAGCACTGTAACCATGGTACTGAAGTTATTTATGACTCTGAAATTAATATATGCTATAGTTAGTAACAGTGGAACAGGGTTTCTCCTATACTACTGTCCAGCTGCCTCTCTCCCCCAACCCCAGGCTACTCTGGAAAGCAAGACAGACTGTCTCCAGAGGGTCTCTAGTTTGCAGTAACTGAAGTAAGTTTTTGCTGATTTCCAAAACTTGGAAACACACCACTGAATATGTGCAAAGATGCATCTTCTAAACATAAGACAGTGCTTGGCCGTGTTTTTATTGATCTTCATTTTGCTGGGAGATTTGTTTGCTTTTAGTTTAGATTTTTTTAAAGTGAACGTTAGTGTCCATGAATGACCCTGGAATGATGGGACACAGAACAAGGACTAGCAGTAGCTGGGCAAGCTTTCCTCCACACTGCTCCTCTACCCTGACCTGGGGGGACCTCCTGCAGGGAGGCAAATGGATTTCAATCTTCTGTCTGGGACACTCGGCTAAAGCTGCCTACAAGGGATCCATTGGGAGTGAGGTCATCTGAGAACTGGACCAATATCTCCCAAATTGATTCCTCTGCAGAGGCACCAGACAAGTCCAAATAGAACACAGCAAAGTGGAGAGGAGCAGAGAAAGCTGCACAATGCTAAATCCCGTTCTGGACATATGCTACTGATGAGGTCAGGCAGCTCCCTGCTTCCACTGTGACCCGTACAGCAGACAGCCAGGAGAACAGCTCATGCTCAGATCTGCATACTCAGGCACAGCCCGTTGGCCCAAGCCACTTCACTCTGCTCCTATGGCTCTCAGCTCAGCAGTAGTAGCTCATAGGGTGTGCAGTCTTCTCCTGGGGGACAGAATGAGGATGGGGAGTCGCCACATGAGGAGGAATATCAAACAAGAGAAAGGGCAACAGCAACAACAACAGAAGGGAAAGTCAAGGAAAAGGAGAGAAGCAAAACAAGATCAGAGGGAAAAACCAAAGAGAGAGAGAGAAGGAAAGGGCAGAGAAATTGGGCAGCACAAAGAAGGCAGGCTGGAACACGTTGCTGGGGTACATTGTGTGGGGCACAAGGGCTGCCCAGTTCCTCTGTCCTCTCCTTATGGGGCAGTTTGAGCAGTCTTAGGGGTTACCTGTAACAAAGTAGGCAAGACACCCTCTGTTCTCAAGGACAGTTTTTGGATCATGATCTGATTGGACATAGCTGATCATTTTTCAATACCCCCTCCATGTACACACTTTCATTCGGGGTAGCACTCTCATTTCATTGCAGTTCCATAGCACGATAAACCTTTTAATGCCTTTCATTGTAATTTCGAAAAGCCTGTCTATAGAGCAGTAGGATTCTGCTAGCCAAAGTAAATCCCTACCCATATTTTGGGGCTTTTCAACCATGCTGGCTTTGGGCCCAGACCTACTTCCACTTGAAGTCAATAGAAAGACTCTCTGAGACTTCAGTGGGAGTTCGATCAGGCTTTCTAAAACACCAGAACCATAAAAAGATTTTTTGAGGAGGGATATGGCAGGTATTGTGAGGTTTATAGGTTTGTTTTACAGTCTGAAGATCAGTTTCCTTAACCCACCGGGCCAGATTCATCCCGTTGACTTCACAGCAATTACCCTACAGATTTATTTGGCCCATTTTGGTCTAACGTGATTGCTTTCTTTATCCTTTTGTCTTTTGGGGTTTGTTTGTTTTTCACCACAGGCTCAGGAAATAAACCATCTGATAGCCTGCCAGAAAACTGCCAGAGGCGCTGTGAGACTGGAGGTGTTTCTCCCACCCCGAAAGAACATTCAGAAACTAGCAGATAACTTGGACAGAGTTCAGGTATGTCTGAGCACATACCAGCAGTTAAACTGATTTCTTTCACTATCTTATCTGTCCATTTCTAGTTTTAAAGGAGAGGAGGGCTTAGCAGGCAAGTTACTCTTGGAATGTACTCAGTAACCCATGGCCAGTTGAACTGTAGATCATAAACAGAAATAGCCAGAGGTACACACATATTATTTAACTAAGTTTAGCACCAAATAAGTTATATTGGTTAGAGCAGGGAACTTGGAGTCAGGATATCTGGGTTCTGTTCTTAGCTTTGCAAATGTCTTAATATGTGACCTAAGCTAAGTCACTTAACTGCTCTTTGTCTCGGTTTCCCCCCATGCAAAATTCACAGCTGTCCCAGGGAGATGAACTGAGTTCCATGGAACTCTCCATCTCAAAGTCTCTTGGATGAAAAGGGAAAGCTTAGGTCCTGTCTGCTCTCTTTAACAGCAATGATCTCTGTGCACTTTTCATAAGACTCAGCAGGCCACTGTCCTTGGCCAGAAGCTCTCCCTGATCTCCCACACAACTGTTTTTCAGTGCACTAAGCACCACTTGTTTGCCTGGCTGCACACTCCACCCTAGGGATGGGTGCAGCTTAGGTGGGTATATATAGTTTGTGAAACACTTTGGGATCCCTTGGGAGGCAAGGTGCTATATTAATGTTACTCATGGCAATATATATAATTCATTACAGTTCTGCATAAAATTGCTATCAGACACATTAATGATAAATGATCTTTGCCCAGTTCCCGACTAATAATGGTGGCAAAAGCCTTGGAAAACTGAGCAAAGTGGCTTTGCTGCTTGCTGTCTGTGGCTGTTTATTAAAGACCATTTCCTTTAGAGTGACAGCTAAAATACAGGCTCTTACACTGGATTTGCCTCTGACTTTCCTGCCTGCACTCCCCTCCCCCCTCCGCCAGCATTTGTAAACATGTCTTTCTGCTTTACTCCGACTGCCTTGAGCAGATTCCTGGGATGTTAATGCCAGATACAGCAGAGGCCTTGGAGTGCTGAGAAGGGCAGACAGTCCCACAGCTGTAGCAAGATGGAACTGGATTACAGCACAGAGAGCATGTGAACATCATGGAATAGTCTGCTAGAAAAGCCCACCCCAACCTTTCCAGGCAATTGTACCAATTTATAAGGCTGGCCTTAGCCATCCCAGATAGTACCTACCACCTCTCGTTCAATTGGGAGCAGCAACCTGCAGTCATAAGACTGAGTGTTTTGAAAAACCCAGGCTCCCTTGCAGGCTGGAGTACACAACTGAATGGGAGATTGGTAGCATTGATGCGCTGGGGCCAAGTACCAAAGCTCATCATTAATGCTGGGAGGGGAAATCTGGAGTAACAGACACAAAAGCATGAAGTACTGTACAGTGCTAGAATTTGTATGTGTACCAGGGAACTACAGCCTGAGAGCATTCTGGATCAATGTAACTGCTGCACAAAAACAGGAAACTGCCCCTCCCTTCGTCAGAATAGAGGAAGAGACTGCATGCCCACATCGGTGTCAGAATTGTGTCAGTGAAACTGGGTGATGGTTCCAAGCACCGGGGCAGGGGTAAGAGCAAATTAGTCATTTCACCTGAAACATGCAGCTGAAGAAGCGATAGTATGGCTCTCACAGTTTTTACAAGAGCACCATCTCTAGGAACATTTAAAACTAGCCTGGACAAAGCTCTCAAAAAATAGATCGCTAAAAGATTCCTGCACTGGCAGAGGGATGGACCACATGACCTAAAACATTTTTTCCAGCTCTTAATTTCTGAGTGTGAAGTCCTGACCCCATTGAAGTCAATGGGAATTTTGCCATAGACTTCAAAGGGGGCCACGATTTCACCCTATGATTCTATGGAATACAGGCACTTTCACACTAGGTCAGTGGTTTGAATTCAGCTCAGGCTGGTAGCAACTGACATTAGTTGCCATCTGACAGCTGTTTAGTGATCTATAGGAAATGAGTTCCCACACACCTCTCCTCCACATTCACTCCTTCATTGGCAGTGTCAGCAGGAAAGCCTATGATTAAATCTGTGTTGAACAAGGAGGATGTCTACTGTCAGAATAACCCCTTCTAAGCATTACATCCATTACAAATAGATAGAAAAATACAGACACTTCATTTCTATTAGCTTCTCCCCCCCCCCCCCTCCAAATCTGGCATTTCTCTTGCTTGCAGGTGTAACTTTTGAAATAGCATTTGATCACACATTGCTGCAGTGGACAGCTGTATGCTATTGTTCAGTCTTTCAGCTTCTTTTTGTCTTCGTTTTACAGAGGAGTAGAGTTGAAGCGATACTAGAAGATGAAAATGGCGAAATATTCATTAGAAGAACCTGAAACCTTGGAGGAGGTAGTTAGAATAAAGTACCATAGTGCCTGAACTGGGAGTGAGCCCCTAGGAGAGCTACAAGTTGTCTCAGCTACTGATAATTACTGTTCAATAAACCACACCAGTTTCTTCTCATGGGCATCCAAAGACGTGCAACAATTTAAACTATGATGGCAGATCCACAGAACTTACCTAGAAACTGCTAAAGGAATGGAAGATTCAGCATGGTGGGCCAAATTCTAACTTCTCTTACACAGTTATAAATCCAGAATTACTCGACTGACTTGACACCTCTTACTCTGGATTTACCCCAGCATTTCTGAGGTCAAAATTTGTCCCTGCGGCCTTCCTCAGTAAGGTACTTACTTGATTAGTTGGAAATAGGGACCCTTTAGTGTTAAGCCAAATTGTATGTCTAACAATGACTTTCAGCCTTTACTATACATGAGTGAGAAACCTCAGTGCCATTACTAGCCTTTTCTTGTGATGAGTCTTTGGTCTTGTAATTTTAAAACTGTGAAATATTGAAATACTGCTTGCTTATATAGTCATGCCTGTAATGTCCTTTAGCCTCCACAACTGATAGACAGCAGGACACCCCTGCATGTTTTGAGGTGTGTCAAATATCACCCTGTAAAAACCCTGCAATAAAGGTAACAATGGATGCAACAAAGGAGATGTGATTTCATTATTACAGCTATAGACTGAGATCCATCTGTGAAAAGTAATGCCAGCTTAGAAAAGTCCTCATTTCAATGGAAGCGAAGGAATGAAAAGACTGCAGTTAGTAACATTTACCATCAAACAGGGATGGATTTTTTTTTTAGAGAAATAAAAGTCATCAGATTGAACAAAGTGACTAAAGATGAGGAAGTGATGCAGAGAGATTTTCTTTTCATTGAAGCAGAATAAAAATCAAAGCATATTGCAATAAGTTATGTGTTAGCTGGTTTATACAACCAGGCCGTTCTGCTCCCTCCCTGCTTGTGCCGGAGAATTCCTTCTCTTGAAATTTTTGATGGGCTCCTCTCTCTGATCCCTCAGAAGACCTTCACCCCAGATAGATCCCCCAAACACCAATATTTCATGTCATTGCTTCCTCCCACTGAGACCTTTGATACTCCCCTTTCCCCCCTACATACCCACTGGGGCCATTTCACCTGTAGGGAGACACTAGCTGAAGATACCATATCTTACTTCAGAAACCAAACCAAAAATCCCCTCGTCTGTATGAGTGATACGACTCCCGGAGCAGCTTTCCTCTCTTCATCTGGCTGTGCGGGTCAGCAAGGTGATTCTGGGCCAGCAGGGAGCTGTTGCAGCTGACAAACGTTAGAGCAGCTGTGAAGTCTCTCCATATTTCGCCAGGGGTTGCACTGGTCCCTATCTGCTTCAAAGATTGGAGAAGCACAAAGTTGTCTTTAAGCCACCTCCCCCGGTTGGGGTCCTGCTCAAAGAGCAGCTTCGCCACACCCAAAGATCTGGCCCCTGCATTCTATCCCCATCTCTGTGATTTCTAACTTCATTTATTCCCCATTCCCTGTGTCGTCTTGGGTCAATCACTTAAACTCTGTGCTTTGATCGCCTCCGCTGTAAAACAGTGCTAAGAACACCTACCTTTGTAAATCCCTTTGAGATCCTCAAGTGAAAGATACTGTGGACATGCAGAGCATTATTCACTACTGCCCCTGCTAGCAATAAAATCAATTAAATTCTGAAAAGTAATACTGGAAGAAGGCTTTTGCCCTACTTCTATTTCTGACTTGCACTGACCAGTGTTACTTCTGTTTGATTTTGTTTTGCAAACAGAATACAGTTTGGAAGCTCCCCAACACAGAAAGCAATTCTTAGGCAAGTCACAATATATAAATAATTCTCTGGAGAACATAGCATGGGTTTGATTGTGCTACTGCTCAGCAGAGCTGATAATCTTGTTTCTGCCATGCCAAACACAGTGCTTTGGGGCCACAGCCCTACAGTCTGTTCTTAATCCCATTCCTGGCACACAATGACCAGCCCTTCCTTCTCTCTGCAACTTTTGCTATACCTATTTTTTGCAAGACTCAGAAAACATTGGAGAAAAAAAAATCTTGTCAGTGTTTGTAAGTCTCCACTGGTCTTATTAGAGGCCCCCAGAGACAAAGCCTTTGGCTACGCAAAGACCCTCATTTAATCCTCTTTCTTCTATGGCCTATATGAGATCTGCACCCCAGAGCTCCAAACTGTGGCATTATCTATGTGTTTGAGGGCCTGAGGACAATCTCTGCACCAAATTTCAGCTCTGCTCCTATGATGCTATCCTGGGAAAAGGATGGATTGTCCTGAGCTCTATGTTATCTGTGTCTGTGTTGAAGGGAGACAAAAAGGGGGGATGAGGCCTGGCCAAGCCTGGGTGCAAACATCCAACACTAAGTCACATCAGACCATCAGGAAAAGGCAGACAGAAGGAATCATTTGAGTGTCAGGGTCAACCTTTGCTGGAATAACTCTGCTCCTCAGTCTCCACACGAGTAGTCGCCAGGGATTTGCCTGGCTACATACATTTTTATCTATCTGATGGCTAAATCAGAACCCCAAATGCCCAACATAGCACTCGGAAGCTTTCTGATACTCCCTAGCGGACACTTGATCCATAAACAAGGAATGGGTTACACGGAGACGTACAGATAGTATCCTCCCAACCAACGGCTAGTCTGCAAAGATGCTTCCCCTGCACTGAGTGGATCTCAGACACAGAGACACGGGAGAATCTGACCCTCAATGTCTGTCTCTGAGAGCTAATCTACCATTTAATTATTTTAACCTGTGCACACTTCTCCAGTCCTTTCTATAACTTCCACTATCGTTGCATTAACTCAAATGAGGCGCTACCATCAAAGAGACAAATCCTGAAGCCCTTATTCAATTTTTTTCTCAGGCCAAACTTCCATTGGCTTCCGTATGAGTAAGGAGTAAGCAGACATTGTCTAAATGAGGGATCTTTCCTCTCAAGTGATAAGAGCCTCCATCCCCCGCAGGCATGCACTCAGCAGGAAAGATCTTACTGGATCATCCAGGTAGGATGTGTAAATGTAAGTGGAGGGAGGGTTTTTCAATAAATACCTTCCAGAGCAGAGCAAAAGCACTCTGTGTAATTAACTGTTTAATGCTTGTGGGTGCACAACTTAGAAACAAATGGATAGCAACTTGGAGACGTTTGCTCCTTCGGCATCTCTGGTGATGGTATCGCAGTGCTTCTTCTGGAGAGGTATCTGGAGCAACCATTCTACGGCTTCTTTCTCCATCACACGCTGGTTTGCAGATGAGGGGGGAAAGGATTCAGTAGGGAGTGGCGCCATGCAATTCAGCCTTGAGACTGGCTGAGTCTGTTCTCAGGTGTTCATTGAAAGAGGCTTCCCTGTCCATAGACATTCTGCCTGGAGTTACTGGAATTCTTTCTATATATGGAGAAGTCAAAGGTTCAGATGCTCTTTCTGTGAGCTGTTATTGTTATGATAACATGGTGTGCTTCTCTAGCACGCCTGTCTCTCAGGATCTCAAAGCATCTCAAAGGTCAGGTTCCACCCTCAGTTAAAAAAACCCAGTGTGATTCTGGAATAGCTCCAGGAACACTCCACTAAATAAGAGTGACGGAGGCCAAAATTAGACCCTGCCAGAGGCTTCACAACACTCCCGTGGGGGGAGATAAGAGATTTCTTTGGATGGCAAGTCCCTCATGGGGCACAGACTGTCCCTTCTTTGATGTCTACAGAGCGCCTAGAACATTATGGCTGCAACAGGAATAATAACAGGCTCACTTCCCCCACCATGGAACTGCAGCTGGCTCTGGGGCGGGTATCTATAGCTGTTAGATAGATACCCTACAGCAACACTACACATCACGTACGCTTTCCTCAGCTATTCCTTTAAAGCCTTTGGTTCCGTTTGCCTTTTCCTAGGCAAGGTCATGGGTGTCTATGGCCCCAGCACATCTGCCTGCAAAACGGTAGAATCTAAACAGTGCCACCTGCAACTCAGGCTAAAACTATGTCATTGTGAATGTTGTTTTAATGAACATTGAAGTCTTACCAATCCTCATATATTAGAAGCGGCCAGCTAGCCAGCATGACCTGGAGATGCAGTGCAGAGCAGATGATAAAGCTGTAATCTCCAGTGGCATCAGGAAATCCCTCACAGGGATCACTCTCTTGGCTGATACAATGGGAGACTCGTCTAGTGGTGGAGTTGGACGACACCTACTGGATGTACTCCATATTACAGCCCACAGCAAACCAATCCTGGAATGAATGCGTCCCCCTCCATACATGGTGTGGGGTGTGGATAGTGGTGGGTATTTAATTCAGTTACTGTGCAATTCCTCACCTCAACCCCCAGGTCAGCCAAATGCATTGAGAAACTTCATTGCAGGACTATGACAAGACTCATGTCTAAAAATACAGGTAACAAAAGACCTACTTTTTTTTAGGTCTTTACACTTGATTTGTGTAAAATTAGCCACTTGAGAAGATTTGGTTTTAGATACACTGGAGAAGATTTGTTTTTAAGACCCCTGAAAAGCTGAGCAGTGCAGTTGAGTCATTACATGTGTCTAAACTACAGTAAACTGTTATAACCTGTCACCAAACCTGCTCAGGTGAGATGTCCCGTTCCTTCCTTGATTCCCTTTCAAAACCCTGGTCAGCTTCAGTTTGGCTGTCCCAGAATTTACTACCAAATGTTCGAATTGGTGCTGTACCCTTCTAAGGGTAGAAAAATGTACTTTACTCCGTTATAGTTAGGGGCGGGGAGTGGGAAATGGTTAGCAAAACATCTAAGCCGAAGCAGCTCAGGGCTCCTGGTTATTCAACGTGGCGATTGTAACTTAACAAAGATACTTTCCTTCCCCAGACTCTATGTTCAAGAAGTAGATAATAAGGACAAGCTGCCTGAAGCATAAAACCCACAGGCTGCAGTTTAGGTTAGCTATTCAAACACAATGCTCCATTGTATGGAATTTGGGACCCCGTCCGACAGTCTGTCTACAGCGAGTGCTTTCCTTTTTTTTTTTTTTAAAGTACATTTTTAAACCAAATGTTATTGTTCCTTTTACTAATATTTCAACTGGGGGAAGGGGGCCTATGGACGAGCTGCCCCCAGCAAAGAAACACAAACAGGACTTGTTGGGGAAATGAAAAGCCACCAAGTCCTGAAGCTGCTAACGGAGCTTTGGACCAGACTTGTCAGCGCTTCCAGCTGAAATGAAATCCTAAAGCAAATCCGGCGACTGGGAATTGGATGGCGGGGGGATGGGGAGTGGCAGGGAACAGAGAGGCCGCCAGCTGCATCATTGAAACAGGGGGGCTTTGATGATTTGGGAAAGTTTATGTTGGAAGGGCCCAATCCTGCCCCCATTGAGATCAAGGGGGGCTTTGCAACTGATTGCAGAATCGGGCCCTAAGGGACCAAAGATTCCCCAAGTGTAACGAGGAGGCGTGCGAGCGGATGGGCGAAAGGCGGAACAGGTAGATTCTGCTAGGAACACTCCGTCGAAAATCTCCAGAAGCCTGGTCCATGTAGCAGGGCTGAGTGGCTAGTGCCCGCGTGGGAGCTGGGGGTCCTGTTACTCAATCGAGGGGGGCTCGCGTTGGGTTTTCACTGAACCAGGCCCATCGAGGCCTATGTGAAACATTCTCT